ACTGCAGAATTCCACTAATCTTTCCCTTCCCCACTTTCTGCAACCTAGAAACCATGGCCAAACCCAAGTCATTAAAATCATCTTTGTAGAGAACACATTATTTTGATTTGTTCAGCATCCCCCTGCCTTCTTCCAGAACAAAACTCCCTTTCTTCCAAACATTGCATTTTGCCCCATATTTCAAACATATGTTTAATAGTGAAGAAGTTTTCACTGCTTTTCGTGTGAGGACCTTAGATTGTCCAATCGTAGTATCTCGTCTGCACTCATCCTCTTCAAAATTGATTGATTCAGGGCTAGGCACAGATAATGGACTTACAATGAAGTGGTTCTTTTATACAGAATGTGGAGTCCAGAACATACTTCCCAGATAGTATTAATTGTGTAAAGGCACTACAGTGGACTAGCCGGTAAACATCAACCCTCACTCCTCCTGTCACCCTTTTTCTTTTTACTCGGGGCAGGGAATCTTCAGGTTTTCTTGACTGAAGTCTTGAGCCATGATTAAGAGCATGTTGAGGCCGGCACCGTGGTTCGCTTGGGTAATCCTCCGCCTGTGGCGCTGGCTTCCCGGGTTCTAGCCCTGGTTGGGGCGCCGGGTACTAGTCCTGGTTGTTCCTCTTCCAGTCCAGCTCTCTGCTGTGGCCTGGGGGAGCAGTGGAGGATGGCCCAAATGCTTGGGTCCCTATACCCGCATGGGAGACTGGGAGGAAGTACCTGGCTCCTGGCTTCGGATTGGCGCAGCCCTGGCCGTTGCGGCTATTTGGAGAGTGAACCAACGGGAGGAAGACCTTTCTCTCTGTCTCTCTCTCTCACTGTCTATAACTCTCTCTCTCATTGTCTAACTCTGCCTGGCAAAAAAAAAAATTAAAAAAAAAAAAAAAGAGCATGTTGAAAGCAAGACTTGAGTTCGTAGCTGTAGTTTAAGGCTAGTAGCATGTTCATTCATTTAAGTATTGTAACTAATCTTCGTGGTGCATATTAAGAGTTCTAGACAACTGGTCAAGGCTGATATGAAATTGGATCTAGCATTATATCAATATATTATGTATTCTCCACACCCAGAAAGAGATGGAGGTATTCATTATTAATTAGGTACTGGCACAGTGATGGGAGTGTTTATTATTTGTGCAGTGTTGGCACTCTGATGGTGGTATGTTCAAGTAGCATTATGTGACATTCAGGCTGATCTTAGAAGATATTTTTATTTACTTCCTTTTTGTGTAAGGATAGGATCATATTGCTTCTCAAAGGTTGCACATTTGGTAATCTTGACACTTTGTCCCTATGCTGATGTATTGGCAGATGTTATGATTGGAATGTAGTTTTTCCTCTCTCAAATTTGCCTTGCCATTGTGGCATTGTTGGGAGGTGGGATCTCTGAGAGATGAAGAGTTCATTAAGAAGAACCTTAGTTTGTGAAAAACTAGAGTGAGTTGTTATAAAGCAAGGCCACCACTTGTGTTTTCTCTTCTGCACATGCCTACGTTTCCACCATGTCTTAAAGCAACACAAGCACTATACAAATGTAGCCACCTCACTGTGGATTTCCAGCCTCTGCAATTGTGAGCTAAATTAAATTTTTCTTACACATTACTCAATTTGGGGTATTCTTTTCTAGCAACAGAAAATAGACTAAGATACCAGGGGAGGTTCAAATGTCAACACTAATCACTCTGGATGACAAATTTTAGTTGGACAAAACCTGCTATTCAGGATGGGGAATCATTTTTCTGCCAAGGGCCATTTGAGTATTTACAACATCATTCATGGGTCATCAAGATGATCGACTTAAAAATTAGCCAGCTTTAGATTTATTGAATTTCGAGTTCTACCTGCAGTTGCCTTGGCAGGGCCAGACCAAATGATTCTGTGGGCTTTATGTGGCCCATAGGCTGGATGTTCCCCACCCCCATTCTCTCTATGTATAGTCTTTCTGAAAAAATGTTCACATATAAAAGTCTCCCATGGGGGGTACCTCTTAATGGGGTTCTCGGAGTGTGAGTAAAATGTAAGGGTGATTAATCAACCCATAAATAAACCATTCTATCACTTGCATCAGTCAGGTCCATTGGACTAAAACAACCTCATGAATTTATCTGAAGTGACAAGTGTAATACAGTAAGTTCCAATAGAAAGTTCCCAAAGATATGTTCCAATGTCCAGTCCTGTAATCATGGGGAAGGCAGTGGGGACATATCTAGTAATAAAGAGCCCAGCTTTCTATAGAGTAGGTGGAATTTGCCTAGTAGTGAATGTTATCCCATAGATAAGATTGTCATTTTTAGCCCTTGTTTATATTCCTGTGGAACTGTGGTCTTCTACTTTTCATTTATTGAATATTATGGTTAGTGGTAAATTAAGCCTTTGATTATAGAGTGGATTGAAATTATGTCTTTGCAAGAATAATGAAGGGAAAGGAAGGGACAGAAGGAGGGCGATTAGGGGAGGGAGGGAAGTATGGTTATCTTCTTAGAACTATACCTATGAAATACATGAAGTCTGTTCTCTTTATATTAATAAAAATTAAAAAATTAATAAAACATGGAAAATTAAAAGCCTTTTCTCAGTACAGATAATCAGAGAAGAGACTATTAAATTTGACATGAATTATGAAAAATAAGAAAGAATTTAAAAAACCAAATATTTTTAACCTAGGAAAAAATCTTCTTCCCTCAGAACTAATAGATTACCAAAGTATGTTGCTGGCTGAGGTACCATAGGTAGGAAAGGTAAAACTGTAATCAGGAACACGCATCAGGATGAACTATTGCTTCTTTGAGGGTAGAAAGCAATGTATGTAATCAGTTTACCCCCAAGATGCTGTTTCTCTCCTTGAGAGGTGGGACCATATTAAGGGCTCATGTTGGTGTCTCTTGCTGGCAGGATAGACACTGAGCAGCACCATTACTAGAACCACCTTGGTGAGAAGGAACCCATGCTGTTTAGCCATTGCAAAGTCTACATCTTGTGTTGGTTACTATGCTCACAAACTCATTATCCAAGTACTGGGATGAACAAGGACTGACACTGGATGATATTTCCTGACCAAGTCATTGATCCATTGGATTAATGGCTCCACTAGAGTGGGCACTTTATAGTGAGAATTCTTGTGCAATGTAGAGATCTTACCCTTTGTCCCCACTTCCATAGTTTCACCTATATGCCTCTCTACCGGGCCTGCTTGGCCCCAGTTATCAAGTCTGTTTATGTTTCCGCCCTGCAAAACGTGATGGTCAGGTAGAGGGAATTTAAGATTATTGAAAACTTCTCCATATTTCTATACTCATATGTGGTTCCCAGGAAATGGCATACATCTAGGTCCTCTCAGAAAAGCGAATGCAGATGGAATAGGTTGCTCTTGGGCAAAGTAACAATCAGAAAAACAATGTTCTAGAGTTTGTGAGAGATACACTGGCATAAAAAGAAGAAAATATGAGAGCAGGAAAATAAGATTATTCCTCAACCTAAAGGAATAGGAAATAAAGTTGATAATCAGAGGAATTATGAGACTATTAAATAGTAGGACAGTTATAGAAACCAAGACTTCTGTTCAGATAACTCTTATCATAAATAGCTGAATTTTTTACCTGAAGGTTTGCTCACATTTGTTTAACAAATTGCTAAGAAACTAATGTAACTCAGGTTTGGAATACATTTCAATTGTGCATTTCTCCAACAATTCATAATTTTATGTATGTACAATGTTATTGCTGTGAATCAAAATAGTCCACTCCATTTCCTTTTTTCAAAAAACAAAAAACCAGGTTTTATTTATTTATTTGAAAGTCTGAGTTACAGAGAGAGAGAGAGGAGGGAGAGATGGAGATCTTCATCTGCTGGTTTACTCTCCAAGAGGCTGCAATGGCCAGTGCTGAGCCTGTCTGATGCCTGGAGCCAGGAGCTTCATCCGGGTCTCCCTTCTGAACAACAGGGGCCCAAGCCCCTAGGCTATCTTCTGTTGCCTTTCCCGGGCCACCAGCAAGGACCTGAATTAGAAGTGACATAGCGGGGCTGGCACTGTGGCATAGTGGGTAAAGCTGCTGTCTGTAGTGCTGGCAACCCCTCAGTTTGAGTCCCAGCTGCTCCAATTCCAGTCCAGCTCTCTGTATGGCCTGGGAAAGCAGTAGAAGATGACCCAAGTTCTTGGGCCCCTGTACCCATATGGGAAACCCAGAGGAAGCTCCTAGCTCCTGGCTTCAGATTGGCCCAGCTCCGGCCGTTGTGGCCATCTGGGGAGTAAACCAGCAGATGCAAGACCTTTCTCTCTCTCTGCTTCTGTCTCTGCCTCTCTGTACTCTGCCTTTCAAATAAATAAATTAATGTTTAAAAAAAAGGAAGAAGAAGTGACCATAATTGATTGTTGGTGTCATAAGGCCATGGTGTCATCTGCTATAGCATAATGTCAGCCTACATTTCCACTTTTAATGAAAAATGATCCATAAGCTTTTTCTTCTATACTGGGGTATGTACTGTCTCATTCTTGTAAATCTCTAAAGTAGTTTTCAGGAGGAAATAATTGACAAAGTAATTCAGGAGGAAATAATTGACAAAGTATGAGTATACAGTTAGAAATAATATATAGTCTTTAAATGTCTTTGCTTACAACTTATTAACAACGATAGCAATGGTATGAACAGACACATATTAACTGTTTAGCATGTATGTTCTTTGGAGTAACTGGTTTTGTATTCCAGTTTCCAGTGCCAGCTCTACCATTTATTAGCTGCATGTCTTTGGGCCAGTTATATAACCTCTGTAAGCTGTGACTTTTTCAAAAGTAAAGTGGAAATAATAACCCATCTTAAGAAGATTAAATTAAGTAATGTATGGGAAGCACTAAATACAACACATGACATTATTTTGGGTTCAGTCAATATTATCACTATTACTTTTAAAATACATAGTATAAAATTATGAATTAGTGAAGAAATTGATAGTCATTTCTTATGGTTGTTTAGAACATGAGTACATATAAAATTTACTATTTATATTTGCAGGAATCTTTAAATACATTACTTAAACAGCTAGAAAAGCAAAAAAGGAGTCTTGAGAATCAAGTCAAAGACTATGCACTTAAATTGGAACAAGAATCAAAGGTTTGCTCTTACTCTGTTTTAAATAGTTTATTTGAAACTGCCATGCTGGGTAACTGGTACCCAGTGTTACCTATAAACCTTAGCTTACAAATAGACTTTCTAATATGGCTAATCTTCTCTTACGTTGCATTCTTTACTTTGTTTTATGCAGGCTTACCACAGGACCAACAGTGAACTCCAAATATACCTTGCTGAGATGTCTCAGGTAACTTTTAACTTCCACATTCCAAGGGTTCTCCCTTACTGTTGATTGTTTTTCATTTTTCTAGGGTTTTGTTTAATTTTGTAGATAAATAGATATTGGAATTATGGGAGAGAAGACATCAAGGTTTTTTATTTTTAACATATTTATTATATTTCTTTGAAAGGCAGACTGACAGGAAAGGAGGGAAGGATGGAGGGAGATGAGTACAGAGAGAGAAACTCTTTCATTGTTGGTTCATTCTGCAAATGTCCACAACAGCTGGAGCTGGGTCCAGGTCAAAGCCAGGAGCCCAGAACTCCATCCAGGTCTCCCATGTGGGTGATAGGGACCCAGGCACTTGGGCCAACTTCCGCTGCTTACCCAGGTGCATTAACAGGGAGCTGGCTTAGAAGCAGAGCAGCAGGACTCAAACAGGCACTCTAATACTGGATGCTGGTCTCCTAAGATTGTATGCACAACAATGCTGGCCCCAGTACCAAGATTTTTTTTTTTTTATTTGACAGATAGAGTTAGACAGTGAGAGAGAGAGAGAGACAGAGAGAAAGGTCTTCCTTCTGTTGGTTCACTCCCCAAATGGCCGCTACAGATGGAGCTACGCCTATCCGAAGCCAGGAGCCAAGTGCTTCTTCCTGGTCTCCCACGCGGGTGCAGGGGCCCAAGGACTCAGGCCATCCTCCACTGCCTTCCCAGGCCACAGTAGAGAGCTGGACTGGAAGAGGAGCAACCAGGACTAGAATTCAGCGCCCATATGGGGTGTCGGTGCCACAGGCAGAGGATTAACCAAGTGAGCTACAGCACCGGCCCCAGTATCAATATTTTTAAATATGAAGTGTGAAAATGGAAATATATAATTTTCATTAAGACGTGAAAAGGAGACAAACAGTTCCCTAAATGAGATTATTTTGCATATTTTTATTATTTTAGTTTGATTCGTAATTACTAGACTTCAAATAGATAAGACACTATCTCTGTACTCTCATGAAATTCAAGACACTTCACTTCATAATTAGGCATAGTAGGACCAAAGATAAGTATAGTATTGATACTTGTAGAAATTATGTACTTATAAATACATGTTAGGGAAGTGATGTGTAAATTATGAAAGATGTTGCATATGTTTTCCACGGTTGTTCATTCGTATTTCATTTATGTTGCTCGTTCATATTTTGTTTATGATGTTGTTGGATATTATAGAGTTTTGATATCACAGTTATTTTTATTTATGATTTCTGATCTTATAGTTTAAAAGACCATGTTCATCCCAATGTTTCATAGCATTCACCACATCTACTTTTAGCATTAATGTGACTTAATATTTGCCACTTAAATATTTAAACCCTATTAACTTTATTTTGGTATATGTTTAAGATTGGAATATGAGTTCAATTTTCAATATGTGTTATCCAAACAGCAGATGGATATATGAATCTCAGGAAATTCCAGTTGGATTGGAAATACAGATTTGGAAGTCAAAATTATTAGCATATAGATAGTAAAGTCATGTGAATGACTGACGAATCTATCAGAAAATGCAGGTCAAAATGAAAGATAGGCTAGAGTATAGTTATGAAGAGCTTCCACAGTGATGGTCAATAAAACAAGAGCTAAAAGGAATATGGAAGTCCTCAAGACACAGGTAGGTTAGATGAGCATGTGACAGACCTTGACACAGGTAGGTTAGATGAGCAAGTGGATGAACTTGACGTGAAGGGTAATCTGATGTCGCTGACCTAGAGCACTCACTGGGGAGACACTACCTCTTCCTGAGCACAGGTATCTTTGCAGCTTTACTCAGACTGTGTATAGTAGTCTACTTGGGATATTAAACAGTTCCACTTTGTTTAAGGTCTAGCACAAATACTACCTTCTTTATGAGGCCAGGACATGATGAGAGACCACAGACCATAGAGCCATTCCAAGGCTGGGTTTGGATTCTAGCTCTGCACTTATCTGTGTGACCTTTCTGGTTCTTAATCTCTCTGCACCCTTCCTTCCCCACTACCTGCCCCAGAAAGAAAATACCAGTAGCTGACATTAGTGTTAGAGACTTTGTCAGTGTTTAGAGATATAATGTGTGTGAACTCTCTAAGATTCAGTAAATGGTGAATATTTTTTCCTATTTTTCTTTCCTGATCTCCCTAGCACCCTCTCTTTGTGACAGGGCCATTCGTATTTCTACTTGCCTTATGCTTCCTCCTGTCCCTTATTGCTGATACAGCTGTTTGCTTCACCCAGCAGCAGGCTCCTCCCTGAGGTCAGACATAGTGCCTCTTTCTTTCCACTCCCTTACACTTAAAGATAAGGAGGGACAAACAGTAAATGTTCAAAATTTTTTACTGAATTAAACATAATTTGGAAATTTATGTTGATAAGGGTAAGCCCGAATCATTAAGACAGAAGTTATATATAAAACAAATCGAAGGATTTTTTTTAAGGTTAGAAGGAAAGTCTTTTGCCCCCAAAGCATTCATTTATCTTTGTTTATCTGAAAAAAAATCATTTGGGTAGAATAATCCTATTCTGACTATTCAGGATCACTGAACACACAATAAACGCCTATTTTAACTGCTTCCCAGGAAGATGTTAATCCTATCCCCAGTATAAATGTTAATAAGGATTTCATTCTAGAGTGAATTGTTAATCTTTATAGTCAAGGACAGTCCTGACCATGTAGATACTCCAGTGACTGGAAAGGTTAATGGATGATTTGCAGTTTTCTCCATGCTAGATACATAAATAATTGATTCTTTGGTAGATAACTAGAGCTATTTGCTGAGTCTGCTGTTTATACTTCTGCTGCCGCCTCCATGGCTTTGTCTCACTTGAGGTTCACTATTTTGACGGAAACTGAGTTTCTCATCTCAAGATTCCTCTACTTTGCACACTGTGCATACAGCATGGTTGGTGCTTTTTAAGAATACATAGGTGGCCGGCACCGCGGCTCACTAGGCTAATCCTCTGCCTGTGGCGCTGACACACCGGGTTCTAGTCCCGGTCGGGCGCCAGATTCTGTCCCGGTCGCCCCTCTTCCATTCCAGCTCTCTGCTGTGGCCAGGGAGTGCAGTGGAGGATGGCCCAAGTGCTTGGGCCCTGCACCCGCATGGGAGACCAGGAGAAGCACCTGGCTCCTGGCTTCGGATCAGCACGATGCGCCGGCAGCAGCACGCCGGCCGCGGCGGCCATTGGAGGGTGAACCAATGGCAAAGGAAGACCTTTCTCTCTGTCTCTCTCTCTCTGCCTGTCAAAAAAAAAAAAAAAAAAAAAAAAAAAAAAAAGAATACATCGGTACTCTGCATTACTTGAAAGTCAAATAGAAAGATTGGCTAGAGTACATAATAAGCACAGGCTTTAGCTTCTATCCCCATAAACAGAGACTTTTTTTTAACTTTTATTTAATGAATATAAATTTCCCAAGTACAGCTTATGGATTACAATGGCTTCCCCCCTCCATAACTTCCCTCCCACCCGCAACCCTCCCCATTCCCACTCCCTCTCCCCTTCCATTCACATCAAGATTCATTTTCGATTCTCTTTATATACAGAAGATCAGATAAATAGAGACTTTTAGCAATGGATCTGAGAGATCATCGAATAAAATGTTGTTGATTTATAGGTAAGGGACCTGAGTTCTGTTTTGTTGTCACGTAGTTTTTAATTATGCTGCTTATTCTCCTTTCCTGAGATTTATTTAAAATCTATCATTTCTAGTACCATCCTCTGAAGAATACAGAAGTATGCACTCACTCCATTATAGCTTTTCAAATGTTTGAAACAACTCTGTATTGCTACAGTTTGTTTTGATTTTTGTTTTCTGAGCTACACTATTAAATTGCATTAGCCTGCAAATCAAAACCATAATGAGGTTTCACCTCACCCCAGTTAGAATGGCTTACATACAAAAATCAACCAACAACAAATGCTGGCGAGGATGTGGGGAAAACGGGACACTAATCCACTGTGGGAATGCAAACTGCCGTGACTCTTCTTCGTCACCACCGGAGAATTAAGCAGGCTGCCCGCAGTTTGCCTTGGCTGAGGAGGGCAAGTGCGCCACCTGCCACTCCGCCTCCCAGGGGGACAATCAGACGCGCGGTGGGGAGTCCAGTCGAAGCAGGATCTCACTTTATTGTAAAAGGGAGGTGTTTATATAGCTGCAGTACAGAGCAGATGCGGGCAAGGGGTGGGGTGATGTGATGCAAAGGGGTTTTAGTCACTCTTATATTACCACCTTAATGATCCTTAGGCAAAAGCGCCCTGGGGCTGAGTCCTTTATCCCCAGGGATTTGAAACTTAAAGACAGGTTTTCAAATTAGAGGCAGGCTTAGGAAATTCCTCTAGTCCTCTCCGGATTCAGCCTCCCCCACAGCAGACTGGTAAAGCCACCATGGAATTCAGTTTGGAGATTGCTCAGAAACCTGAATATAACCCTACCATACAACCCAGCCATACCACTCCAAAGGAAATTAAATTGGCAAATGAAAGAGCTGTCTGCACCTCAATTCTTATTGCAGCTCAATTCACAATAGCTAAGACATGGAATCAACCTAAATGCCCATCAACAGTAGACTGGATAGAGAAATTATGGGATATGTACTCTTTAGAATATTATACAGCAATAAAAAACAATGAAATCCGGTCATTTGCAACAAAATGGAGGAATCTGGAACACATCATGCTGAGTGAAATAAGCCAGTCCCTAAGGGACAAATATCATATGTTCTCCCTGATCGGTGACAACTAACTGAGCACCAAAAAGGAAACTTGTTGAAGTGAAATGGACACTATGAGAAACAATGACTTGATCAGCCCTATCCTGACTGTCGAGGAACAATTTACTATTTTATTCCTTTTAGTTTTTTTTTTTTTTGTTCTACTTAATACTATTGGTTGAACTATTTAATTAACACACAATTATTCTTAGGCATTTAAATTTAACTGAAAAGTGATCCCTGTTAAATATAAGAGTGGGAATAAGAGAGGGAAGAGATGTACAGTTCAGCACACGCTCACTCGGACTTACCCCTAACGGTAGAGTTAGAAACGTGCCAGGGGATTCCAATACAATCCCATCAAGATGGCCCGTACCATGTACCATTTGCCATCTCACTAGTCATACTGATCACTTTGATAGGATTAAGTGTCAAACGGATCACATAAACAAGACTAGTGTGTGCTAATACTAACTGATAGAATTAAAAAGGAGAGAACGATCCAACATGGGAAGTGGGATACACAACAGACTCATAGAATGGCAGATGGCCTAAACAGCACTCTGGCCTCAGAATCAGCCGTTAAGGCATTCAGATCTGGCTAAAAAGCCCATGAGAGTTTTGCAGTCATGGAAAGCCAAGACACTGTGGCAAAAAAAAAACAAACAAACAAACAAAAAAAAACAAACGACTTAAATGAAAGATCTCTGCGAGTGAGATCCCAGTGGAAAGAACCGGCCATCAAAGAAGGATGTACCTTTCTCTGAAGGGAGGAGAGAACTTCCACTTTGACTATGGCCTTGTCTAAATAAGATCGGAATTGGAAAACTCAAGAGGCTTCTATAGCCTTGGCAGCTCATGGCAAGAGCCTCAGGTGATTACTGACATCATAAATAAGAGTGTCAATTGTTAAATCAACAATAGGAGTCACTGTGCACTTACTCCCCTTGTAAGATCTCTATCTTTAATATGTTGAAATATGTGAATTAATGGTAAAACTACTACTAAAACAGTACTCTCTACTTTGTGTGTCTGTGTGGGTGCAAACTATTGAAATCTTTATTTAGTAAATACTAAGTAGATCTTCTGTATATATAGATAATTGGAAATGAATCTTGATGGAGAATGGGATGGGAGAGGGGGTGAGAGATAGGATGGTTGCAGGTGGGAGGTAGGTTATGTGGGGAAAAAGCCTATAATCCAAAAGTTGTACTTTGGAAATTTATATTTATTAAATAAAAGTAAAAAAATAAAAAAAAATAAATTGCATTAGCCATTGCTCAGGACACAGGTTCCAGAGTGCCCAGGAATTTCTGTTGCATTTTTGTAACTGTTTTGTAACTGTTCATTCAAAAATGGACTCCCAGTTCTAGACCTAGTACTTGAAATATAACTTCAAAAATAATAGCTATCAAAGACTTGTCTCGGGCCGGCGCTGCGGCTCAATAGGCTAATCCTCCGCCTAGCGGCGCTGGCACACCGGGTTCTAGTCCCGGTCGGGGCGCCGGATTCTGTCCCGGTTGCCCCTCTTCCAGGCCAGCCCTCTGCTGTGGCCAGGGAGTGCAGTGGAGGAAGGCCCAGGTGCTTGGGCCCTGCACCCCATGGGAGACCAGGAAAAGCACCTGGCTCCTGGCTCCTGCCATCGGATCAGCGCGGTACGCCGGCCGCAGCGGCCATTGGAGGGTGAACCAACGGCAAAGGAAGACCTTTCTCTCTGTCTCTCTCTCTCACTGTCCACTCTGCCTGTCAAAAAAAGAAAAAAAAAAAAAAGACTTGTCTCTACCACACCCATTTTTCTTCTCAGCTGCCTGAGCAGTCATTCTGAATACAGATAGCATGGTACAGTTTCCTGTTAAAAACATTCAATTTGCTTTGCCCAGAGAATCACAGCAAAGCTCCTTGGTGTGGTCTACAAGTTCCTCTCCAACATATTTGCATGTGTTTCTGCTTCGTATCCATGCTAACTTTCTGTGCTGCAGCCAGAGCAAATGCTAAGTGCAGTTCCTGCATATACCGTCCTACTATTCCTGAGAATTTTGCTGTTCCTTCTTTCTAGAATATCCTTTCCCTAGTTCCTGATGGGCTCTCTTCCATGTGGGGACTTCCTCCAGCCTGAGTTAGTGGTGTCTCCTCTATCCTGTGCTGTTTCTCCAAAAGAGCACTGCCTTATTTGTCTTTGTATCCCAGTGTTTCAGGTAGCGATAGCACATAGTGGACTCTCAGAAATGTTTACAAAATGAATAAATGAGTGAATTCCATTTTCTGTTCCAGTGTATCCAAACCTGTCACTCTTAGCAAATCATCCAATATCTTACAAAGAGAAGAGTGTATAACAGGTAGGAAATCCAATTTTTCTTCCTTTCACCTTCAAATTTATCCACAATCTTTATCCATCATTCCTGTTGTTCCTCTTGTTCAAAAGAAAAAGTTTCTAATCTTCTTCCCAAATCTATCTGCTACTAAAACTCAAAATTTCTTCCCCTTTTCCTTTTTTAAATTTCACCTTTATTCTCTGTAGATTATCCTGTACTTATAATATGCTCTACTTTTCACCACAACAAGAACAAAACAAATATTTTACCTCAACTGTCTGTCCTCAAAAGTGACCTTACCTTTCCTTCTCTCAGCTGAACTTCATGAAAGAGTGGATATACTTAATGCATTTGCTTCTAACTCCTCAATGTCTTTTGACCCTGCCATTTTGCTCTGGCACAGTTTAGCTTTTTTTTTTCTCTTTTGAGAGATTTTATTTATTTATTTGAAAGGTAGAGTTACAGAGAGTGAGAGACAGAAAGGTCTTCCATCCACTGGTTTACTCCCCAGTTGGCAACAACAGCCGAGATGAGCTGATCTGAAACCAGAAGCCAGGAGCTTCTTCCGGGTCTCCCACGTGGGTTCAAGGGCCGAAGCACTTGGTCTATCTTCCACTGCTTTCCCAGACTATAGCAGAGAGCTGGATCAGAAGTGGAACAGCTGGGATGCGAAGCGGCACCCATATGGGATGCTGGCACCACATGTAGAGGCTTAACCCACTATGCCACAGTGCTACCCCCTAGTTTAGCTCTGAATAGCCACATGCAATGACTCCTCATCAAGTTTCAGGTATTAGCCGTCTCTGAGGCATTTCTCACTGCTAACTATTCTCACTTCTTAGAACATCCCCTCACACTTGACTTCCTTGACAGCATTCTGTCTCCTCTTTTGTCCCTACTTTTTAAATGTTGGGCCTGTCTATCTTTGATAAATCTCTCATTCCTTAAAAGTTGCTTTCCCCATGGGCTGACATTGTGGCATAGCCGGTTAAGCCACTGCCTGTAGTGCTGGCATCCCATATGGGACTGGTTCCTATCTTGGCGGCTCCACATCCAATCCAGCTCTCTGCTAATGCGCCTGGGAAAGCAGTGGAAAATGACCCAAATATTTGGGGTCCTGCACCCACATGGGAGACCTGGATGATATTTCTGGCTCCTGGATTTGGCCTGGCCCAATCCTGGCCATTGCTGCCACTTGGGGAGTGAATTAGCACGTGTAAGATCTCTCTCTCTCTTTCTGTCTGTCTGTATCTCCTTCTCCCTCTGTAACTCTGCCTTTCAAATAAATAAATATATATTTTTTTAAAGTTGCTTTCCTAAGTTTATATCATCGATTCTCTTGCTTCTCTCTGTGCTTGTTAATGAATGATCTCATTCACTCTTGGCTTCAGTTGCCATCTGCAAGGCCATTGTTTCTGAATTGCAGATGATGTTTACACAATCCACAATAAATCTCCTCTTTCAAATCCTGGGGAATGGCAAAATAGAAAAAATGAAAATTTTTTTCTATTTTTGCTCAACTTCATCTACTACTTTTATTGTCTTGTCTACCTTAATGCAGGGTATATGTATCATGCACATTTATTGTGTACTGCAGAAACTTTTAATGATTCATACATGGATGGCATGCTTTCATAGTCTTCTCAATATTTTAAAAAATCACATGGACTATGGGACCTAGGGGAATTTCCAGAATCTTTAGAAATTGAAGACACTGGAGAAGGCCGAAGTTTCCCATTATTCTTCAGCTTCGCTTATACATGCTATTAAAAGACCTGGCTGTGGAGGAATTAATTGAGAATTGGCTTTTCTTCTTATCTGTGAAATCAATTATGCAACAAGAGGATAAAAACTCAGATTTCTGTGTTTCAGGCCTCAGGCTCACATCAGGTTTCTAAAAGGCAACAACACATGGAGCAACTGCCGAAAATGAAGGAGAATCTAGTGAAAATGTAAGTCTAGCTGTGTCTGTTCTTTCTCCTTTACTGTATTTGCTTGTAGATTGTACTGATAAGACTGGTTCCTGTTATATTTTTGAATGTTGAACTTCTAGATTTTATAGCAACAACATAAAATAGCACATAGTAGGAAAATTTAAAGAAGTTTGAGATCTCCATTTGCTATCTGTACACTCTTTTTTTAGAGCCCAGAAACATTTTTGGTCCTCAAATGTAATAATACCTTATTTTTTTGAACTAAAACAATACTCAAGAAGAGCTTAAAACTACATCATTATCAACAGCATAACTATAATTATAGTGTCAATCTTAACCTTTTTAGTAATAAAATATGCTTATTGCATTGGAAACTAAAATAAATGTGATAATAGTGCAGTTTAAACTATGATTTCTCATATAAATAAAGCCAGTTTGTTAATAAAGAGAAGAGAATTGTTTTATTAAGGTAATACCTACACACAATTTTTTCTGGTTCTGTTCTAAGTATAGAAGAATTACTCAGGTAATGGTTGTTTCATGCAATTTTATCCACTGTAGGGGAATGTGTTCTTATAGAACTTAACACTAAAAAGTTACAGCAGGGCAGGCATTTGGCACAGCTTTTAAGACACTGCTTGGGGTGCCTGCATCCCATATTGAATGCTTGGGTTTGAGTTCTGGCTACATTCCTGCTTCATGCTTCCTATTAATGTGCACCCTGGGAAGCAGCAGGTGATGACTCAAGTAGTTGGGTCCCTGCCACCCATGGGGGAGATCTAGATTGATTTGGGGGCTCCTGGTTTTGGACTGGCCTGCTCTGGCTTTTGCAGACATTTGTTGCAGTAGATGAGAGATCTCTTTTGTCTCTCTGCCTTTCAAATAAAATACAAATTAAAAAATTTAAATTTTGGATTTTCCTAATAAAAATAAATATTAAAAAAACTTAAACCAAGATACAAATTAACTGTAAGTCAGAATCCTTCTTGGGACCATTGTTGTGGCATAGTGAGTAAGCCACCACCTATGAAGCCAGTATTCCATATGAGTACTGACTTGAGTCCCAGCTGCTCAACTTCTGATCCAGCTTCCTGCTAATCCAGCTTTGTGGCAGCAGTGAACTAAGCTGACACCTGTGAAACCAGCATCCTGTATGAGCACTGGTTTGAGACCCAGCTGCTCCACTTCTGATTCAGCTTCCTACTAATGCACTTGGAAAAGCAGCAGAAGGTGGCCCAAGCACTTGGGCTCATGCCAACCCTGTGGAACACCCGAATGGAATTTCAGGCTCCTGGCTTCAGTCTGGTTCAGCCTCGGCCATTGTGGCCTTTTGGAGTGTGAACCAGAGGGTGGATGATCTCTCTCTTTCTCCCTCTTCCTCTCCCTCCCCCTTCCCCTCATCTTTTTTTTTTTTTTTTTTAAGATTTTATTTATTTATTTGAGAGGTAGAGTTATAGACAGAGGGAGAGACAGAGAGAAAGGTCTTCCTTTCGTTGGTTCACTCCCCAAATGGCCACAGCAGCCGGAGCTGCACCGATCTGAAGCCAAGAGCCAGGTACTTCTCCCCTGTCTCCCACATGGGTGCAGGGGCCCAAGTATTTGGGTCATTTTCTGCTTTCCTAGGCCATAGCAGAGAGCTGAATAGGAAGAGGAGCAGCCAGGACTAGAACCGGTGCTCATATGGGCTGCCAGCGCTGCAGGTGGAGGATTAACCTACTGCACCACTGCGCTGGCCCTACCTCCCCCCATCTAACTTTGCCTTCCAAATAAATAAACAAAAATAAATCTCGGGGCCCGCATTGTGGTGCAGTGGGTTAAGCCACTGCTTGCAATGTGGGCATCCCATATGAGCACCAGTTCAAGTCCCGGCTGTTCCACTCCCTAGTAAAGTGCCTGGGAAAGCAGTAGAAGATAGGTCAAGTGCTTGGGTCTCTGTTACCTACATGGGAAACCTGAATGGAGTTCCAGGATCCTGATTTCACCCTGGCCCAGCCCTGTATGGGCCATTTGAGGAGTGAATCAGAGGATGGAAGATTTCTCTCTCTGTGTCCTTCCTTCTCTCTCTGTAATTCTGCCTTTCAAACAGATAAAGTATATCTTTATAAATCAATCTTAATAAATAAATCTTTAAAAAAAAAGTTATGCAGAGAGAGAAGGAGAGGCAGAGAGAGTGAGAGGGGTCTTCCATCTGCTGGTTCCATCTGCCGGTCTTCCACCAGCCCCAGTAAATAAATCTTAAAAAAGAATCCTCCTCACACATAGGTAAATATAAGAGTCACTCAAAGTATATTCAATATAAAAATTTCTTTGCTGGAAATTGATGAGGTAGCAACATTTCAACCAATATTTGAATGGATAGATCAACTTATCCTTTCTTGAATAATCAAAATGCTTTAATTTATAATTTGTTATCTCTTTAAAAAGATTTATTTTATTTATTTGAAGAGCAGACTGACACAAAGAGAGGAAGAGACAGAGAGAAAGAGATCTTCCAGGGGCCCGTGCTATGGCATAGCAGGTAAAGCCGCCACCTGCAGTGCTGGCATCCCATATGGGCGCCAGTTTGAGTCCCAGTTGCTCCACTTTTGCTCCAGCTCTCTGCTATGGCCTGGGAAAGCAGTAGAAGATGGTCCAAGTCCTTGGGTCCCTGTACCCACGTGGGAGACCTGGAAGAAGCTCCAGACTCCTGGCTTCAGATCTGCCCAGCTCCGGCTGTTGCGGCCATCTGGGGAGTGAACCAGTGGATGGAAGACTTCTCTCTTTCTCTCTCTGCCTCTCTGTAACTCTGCCTTTCAAATAAACAAATAAATCTTAAAAAAAGAATAACAGGGGGCCGGCGCTGTGGCGCAGTGGGTTGGCGCCCTGGCCTGAAGTGCTGGCATCCCATGTGGGCGCTGGTTCGAGACCCGGCTGCTCCACTTCCCATCCAGCTCTCTGCTGAGGCCTGGGATAGCAGTGGAGGATGGCCCAAGTCCTTGGGCACCTGCACCCACATGGGAGACCAGGAAGAAGCACCTGGCTCCTGGCTTCGGATTGGTACAGCTCTGGCCGTCGCGGCCAATTGGGGAGTGAACCAGCGGATGCAGGACCTCTCTCTCTCTCTCCTCTCTCTGTGTAACTCTGACTTCCAAATAAATAAATAAATCTTTAAAAAAAAAAAGAATAACAAAGTCATGACAACAGTTTAAAAAAGAGAGAGAGAGAGAGAAAGAGAGAGAGGGAGATCTTCCATTTGCTGATTCACTCTTCAAATGGCCCGAATGGCTAGAGCTGACCAGGCCAAAGCCAGGAACCCAAAATTCCATGCAGGTTTCCCTGTGGGTGGCAGAGGCCCAAACATCTTGGCCATCTTCTGCTGTTTTCACAGGTTCCTAATGCAAGGAGGAGGATCGGAAGCAAGACAACTGGGACTGAAACTGTGCTCTGATGGGTGATGCTGGCATCACTACACCATAACACTAGCCCCTAATTCATTACATTCATCTATTTTCACCACTGGAAATATAAAGTACATTGAATGTTGAAGTAAATTTTGATAAAATATTTCCCTATAAGAGCTATTGAACCATTTGGTCAGAGTTCCTCAAGACCATTCCCAATTTCAGTGATTCACTAGAAGATCACAGGACTCAGTATAATTGTTTTATTTTCTCATGGCTAAATTTTATTACAGCTAAAATATACAAAGCAAAATCACCGAAGGGAACAAGGAGCATAGGATGAAGTCTGAGAAACCTAGGTACACATTTTCAAAGTACTGTCCTGAGTTATGACTAACTATTGTGACAGCATGTAAAGTTTTATCTACTAAGGAAACTCACTAGCTACTTATCAGCCAGGGTTTTTATTGGAGAGGTAGGTCACATGGGCATCCTTTGCCTAGGTGGTACCAAAATTCCAGACTCCCAGAAGGAAAATAGATATTCAGTGTAAGCCATGTTTTTTTGTACTTTGTTAGCATAGTCAGCCATTCTTGTCACTAAGGGAAATGTCTATATCAGGGAAGGGAACAGGAACAGTTTACCTGTAAGTTCCTGGACACCAACCAAAGCCTAACCTTGCTAGCAGGATTTCCCCAGGCCAGCAATCCCAAGCTTTTATGTTAACTCTTTCCTGCATAAACACCCTAAATAATTATTTTATATTTTTATTTATTTTCCAATGCAAAGCTCTTTTAAAAAGATATCACTTCTGTGATAAATAGTGAAGGGGGAGATATTTTGAAAATAAAACCTTCATTTTCATCATTTATTAACACACATACACATATATATCTTGAGAGTAGTGGTCTTTGAGAACAGTTTAGCTTTCCATTGCACAGTGTCATTGGCTGAATCTCTAAGGAATGGACTCTGAAATGGGAGTCAGCATACTGGTTACCAGTTTATTTATTGGTGTTCTTAGGATGAACACCTGTGTAAGAAGGGAACAAAACAGTTTTGGACAGTGAGAATAGGGTTATTGTGCAGCTGTGGTCCCACAAACTAACATGACCCATCCATGACCCAAGTGTGGGCTTTTTCTTCCTCTGGTGAGGTAACTCAGACCCCTATCTCTATGTAATTTGAATCCCTATTTATCATGTCCTTTCCAGGTTAAGATCCTTCTCCACTGCTCTTAAAATTCGGCAGGTAAATACTAAGGGTCACCCAGATAGATAACCTACATGCCAAACCCACCCCCTCTTGTGTCTTTATATTATAATAGCAGTTGCATATCTTGTGTGAAGGGCTCACCGTGCCCGACATCTGAACCGAGCATGAGATACAGGTACATAGAGATGGACCACATAGCCTGGGATCTCTGTTGATGCAAGCTACTCATGCTTAATCCTAGATCTATCATTTCTGCCTCAATGAAACCTAATGTCGAATCTGTGCTTGGCATAAATTATTGTCCAATAATTTGAATTAATGGTTAAAAAAACCCTCCATCTTCTGAAGTTATAAATAACCCAAATAATACTTCAAATAGAAACATTTCACTAAACTCATAGTCTTCTAAATTAGGTATATATA